TCGTAAATGGAGATTCCTAGGGACTGTGTTATTCCGTCTATTCATCATATGCACGGTCAGCCTCTGATTCGCTTTCCGCCTGGTCGGTACATTATTGCACGCTGTGGTATACTCACCCAGTCGACTGACTGACTGACTTTCTACCCCACCAGGACATCATACACGCGATTAACACCCGATGACACAAAGTGCCACCATGTGGATGAGGATCGCCGTGGAGGTCCCAGAAACTGCCTTCAGACAATTGGCCATATTGATGGCCTGTCTATATTGCAGCCCCTGGCAAGAACCAGGGTGGGGCTTCAAATGCCCAAAATCGCATCCTAAAAAGGACGAAGCTGGATATTAGGCTCCAACTCACCCAGTGTAGTATGTTCACTCAATTTATACATGTTGCCTATTTGAAAGCCTTACAGTTATTTGCACATTTCGACAATTGCCCTCCTCTGTGATTGAAAGAGTTAGGCTTCCTAAAACTTCTGCACAGTGCAACTGACCAAACACCTCTTGTGTTTCTAAAGATCTTACTGACCGTTGTTCTTGCTTTATTCTCAATCAGACAACTTATTCCAGCCCATGGTCGGTGTTCGAAACCGGTCGGTTTCCGGGGTTCAGTCAGCCTCTAGGAAATGGGTACCAGAGTCAACACTCAGGGGTAAATGGAGGAACGTCGCTGTAGCTACAGAGTCACGTGAGAACGGCATCACAGGCGGACAGTGTCTTATCAGCTGTCCGTACTGGTGGCAGAGCACTTATGGTTTATAACCGTGTGCAATGACGCTGGTTCACATCTCCCGACTTTACCCTTTTAGCGCTTTGTAGATGAATCATTGCTGTAACTATTTGTGTCAATGAGTGTCTCTTTTGGATTTCCCCAGAGTTGAACATTTATGGGTAAAGCTCAACTCCTTGGGGTGGAAGCTAGCTCAAGTACCAATTGTCTGGTACTGAACAAGTAAATAATAATAATAATCTATTATGTACTGAAGGTTTATGTGACCGATCAACATCATGGCAGACGGGTGTACCCATCAGGTGTACTGAAGTTATTGTGACCAAACGTTTTTTATGAGTCTAACCTGGCTGTTTCATCGGCACACTCAAATAACTGTCGACTGTCCCGTTTTACACAAATCTAGGAATACGCTTGAGATTAGAACATAACATTGTTAGTTATGTCTGTGGACCTTATTAAATTTTTCATTAGTTATAGATACTTTTAATGTGTGGAACGTATTGATGGAAATTTCCACTGTAACGTGTTTGTTTTTCCCCAGCGCGGTTAAACAGCATATTGTTTCGTTTTTTACTTTTCCTGATGACAAGGGTTCAGGGTTTCAATACTAGCTGAAAGAGTGATTATCCCTTTACACCGGGTGACCTACAAAAAGAAGGGGGCCAAAAAAAAAGGGGGGGGGGTGATAGGGAGTAGGGTTGAAATTACTTGCTTGAGATGTCCTTTTTTTTTTCCAGCTCAAAATATTACATCACCCAAACTGAATGACAAGAGAATATAATTCTATATCTGAAGTAATGAGCCAAACACTGACACTAGCTAAAGCCTGTGTACACAAAATCACCACCTGCGAGATGAGATGCCTCAGAAAAGCAGCCAACCTAACCATCCGAGATCGAGTAAATAATGAAACTATAAGACAAAACGTGGTAACAACACCTTGTACTAGATTCATCGACAAACAGCAGATCAAGTGGTTTAGCCATCTGTTAGAATGCAGCAAGATCAAATAGTCACAAGCACTACATCAGCTACAAGAGCAAGAGGAGAGGCACGGAAAAATGGATCGACAACATTAAAGACACTATGCTTTCACGGCATGACAATAGCCAGTGGCAGCCAACGTGCACTGGATCACAAATTATTCCTCCCCACGGCGCTTAAGGGCAGAAGTGGTTTATGATGATTATGTTCTGAAATAATAGGAAATCTATAAATACCTAAAAAAAATACGTCTCTACATGACTAGGCGGACCACCTAGCCCCCTTGTACGTTTACTAGTGGGGGAGAGAAGGGAGCCTCACCCGCTTTAAAATGTTGAGGAAGCTCATGGCCCCATAAAATATTTTGGTGGTGCAAGATACCTGAACCCCAGGTTTCAGTCACACAATCTAAACACCGCTTTTTTTAAACATTTGCCTGTCATATCCTGCTACAGTTAAAACTCTTCTCATTACCTGCAAGACTAAGTACTTACAGACTTGAGTGGAGAGCAAGAGTGGTTCTTCAAACTGCCTGACACTTTATATATATATATATTTATACATACATGTGTGTGTGAGAAGTCATATTGGCAGTTGCTCCTTTTTCATATCCTGGGGTACTGACACAAATCAAACATAGAGGGGGGGGGGGGGGGGGGGGGGGGGGGGGGGGGGGGGGGGGGGGGGGAACAGCCCCCTTAAATTTGTCGCGGGGGGAGAACAATAAACATGCGAGCCTCAAATTCTGGCACTCTCATCCAAACTGGCGATGGAAACCAGAATAGATCATTAGATTAAAGCTAATCAAGCCAGCACAGTAGGACTCTGTCTAGTGAGAAACTCATGCAATATTCACTGTCTTCTGATGAGACATTGGCCAGCTGCAGTAGTCTTACGGTTAGCTCGCCTGCCTGTTCTCGTGACTTCACATTTTTATACAGTTGGGCACTAGTAGGCAAGAACTTTGATATGATGAGTAGTTAAAAACACTGTTATCAGATGACATTGCTACAAGTAAACACTGCTATAAGTAAACATTGCTACAAGTAAACACTGTTTAAGTGGACAAAAACATTGCTATATGTAGACAAGAATATTATTATGATGGGTAGGTAAAAAACTTCCAATTAATCAGCAACTGGTAAATAGCTGTCAAAGGGATCCTGTTCCACTTGAACTCTTTCTGTCACAGGATGTTTAGCATCAGAAGACTGTGAGGTAGCACAGAGAACAGTAAAATCAACACATCTAGAGTGCACTGGGCTTCTAGGTAGAAATCTACGAACGTATGATGTGTTACGTGGGACTGAAAGAGTTAAGTATATGGTGCCAGTCTCATACTTTAAGAGATGAAAATGGGGTACTGAGATGACATAATCTTCACTGAACCAGGTTTTACCACATACAGCTTGGTCTCTCTACAGAATGGCTAATTGCCAGCACAACCTCTAGCTCCAATGATGGCCGCTCCCCTTTTACACATCTACACTTAAAACTATGGTGGATCTCGAATCAAACCATTTTTTAGTGTGTGGGTTTTGGAGTCCCACTGTGGCAGACAAAAGAAGAGACCCAAATAAATGTCAGACTGTCAAAAGTTCTACTATATGACAGAAAGGTTCAGATGTTCTGTACCCCTGGCCCCACTTGTCAGAATGTCATCGCCAGAAAGGGAAAGCCATGCCTGATGCAGGCTTTTACCATAATTGTGTGCTGTTTGCAGATGAGACAACATTAAAGATGTTTCATGCGCTGAAGAAAATGTGACCATTTGTGTGATCACTGAAGTCCTCGACCTAAGGCCCTGATGATCACCAGAGGGCCCGGCCTGATGATCACCAGGACCCAGCCTGTGATGAGTGTGAAGCCCAACATATGGATGTAAGGTTCAGCAATCCTGTGTATGACGTAGCGATTTCTTGGGTGAGCCCAGGACCAGAGTGTCATGTGCCGGATTTGCATCTTTCGAAGCCTCCTTGAATGTTGCAAAAAAAAACAATTACCTGCCCCTGTTTTCCCTTAAGGGCTGACCAGTCTACACGAGGTTGCCCTAGAAGGTTCTCCATGGGCACCACCTGTAAAGGGACAGAGAGGACAACACACCAATAAGGCATCATCATGTCCCATGAACCAAACGTAAAGGTTAACAGAGTCAACGAATGCCAGACGGAGTGTGATGTTTGAACAAAGAAGACACAAACAATAGACTGCACAATTTATTGCCTGGCATATTTCGCTGTATCTCATCAGGTGCAGTCTATTGTTTGTGTCTTCTTTGTTCAAATTTACAACGGGGAAACATTGCTTTGATTATTTGGAGTGTGATGTTTCAGCTGAAAGACACAAATACTGCAGCTTTGCTGAAAACAGGCACATCATAATTGCATCACTTGGACGAATGAAAGGAAAAATAATTCGGCACTGCAGGAAAGTAGAGTTGGCTAGCATGATGATACAGGTTTAAAAGTGTATGCCTGATCTGCCAAAAGTGTTAATAAAAAGGTCATTAAATTTAAAGTAAAAATTTGACACAGCTTCTGCCATAAACAACAAAACACAATTCTAATCCCTAAAAAAGGGACACAATCACAAAAGAATAAGACCATTTGAAATCAATAATGGAACTTTAATTCATTTTACAACAATGTAAACATTACATTAAACAATGTAGTGTAGCATATATAACATTAGATCCCTCTTTACAGAGAATGGGCTGCAAGGGTGTAATTGCTAGTATGTCTACCTGCTGACTTAGAGGTCATAGGTTTAGATCCTGTTATTACATAGATGTTTTTGGGTAATCTAGGATTTCATGCTGGCCTTGTCTAATATTAATAATCTTCACTGTGTAGGGAAAACCTAAACAGGTACATGTTTACACCCACCAAGCAGCAACAGAGATCTGGCCAAATCAATAACATGTAGACACTTGTCACAAGAGAAATCCGCTACTGCTGATCCCAATCCCAGATGAGAGAAAGCAGGAGGGTTGTCAGATACTTCACCTTGTAGAAACAATTATTCTTCAAAAAGTAGGAGAACGGGTCAGAGAGATTACCTAACCTGAACACTTTCAAAGCCAAAGATGCTGGACTAGATCCTACCCGAGACATCGAAGGGACTGCACAGGACAGAGCAGAAAGGAGGAGTAGACTACAACCTCCGTGTGACAGAATAGGATGATGTGATCAGAGGAGAAAGTTGCCAAACTTCCAAGAACTCTAAGAGACTCATCGCACATAAAACAGTCAAATACAAGCCCACTCTCACCCGACCTAAACTAAAATATCTGGATGCTCTTCACAGACTTGGATAAGGCAGCAGTCTCCTTCTTCATCTTTTCATTCTCCATGGCAAAGACTTCCCTGTTGGCTTTCTTTTCTTGCCTTCTTTCCTACAAGAATGAAGACGTGTATACAATTAAGGCTGAAATTTGTGTTAAAGAATAAAAATACAACATTAAAGAAACTTCAGAGCAGACACAATAAAAGAGGTAAAATGTGCTTTCTTATAAATTAGGCCATGAAATAACATAAAGCAATCAACTGTTGTCTTTGTTGCAATTCTTGCCACTACTCACTGAGTTCATCAGAGTGACATGCAAACAAACAAAACGGAAAAAATGTGATCAGTCACAACTGTCTTCTTCTTGCAACCTCTGTCTTTGATCAATACATCATCAGGATAGAACATAGCTGTGTTTTTGCAATTTTTCTGCAACTCTTTGTCTCAAACAATGCACTGTCGGACTGGATATTATTTATGTATCGCAAACACTATGTTATATGTGTTTAAGTATCCCTTGTTTAGTCAAGCAGTCTTTAAATACTAACAAAACAAAACACACAATGGGAAGGAAAAAACTAGACAACAGATTTGTCTCCTACAATTATTGTACATTGGCCTATGTGGAGTGACATTTTTTTTTCTCAGACTGTTTACAAATAACTAAATCTTGAAAAAAAAATTTTAAAAAAAAAGATCTGCATGTAGAACTCCAGTTCTGAGTTCTGGAGCAAGACTAAAGTCAAGAAAAAGATAAACAACCAGAAAAGGTTTAGAGCCAGTAAACTGGATGAAGAAGATGATAACTCTATAAGTAGGATTCTCTATGATCAGTCATAACTTACTTTCCTCTCCTCTTTGATCGCCTTCTTCCTGGACTTTTTCTCATCAACAGTCTCATCTTTGGGTCGGAAGGTACCGGCCTTGTCCAACTTGTGGCTGGCCCTCATCTCTGCTTGAAGCTGCCGCAGATTGATTCCAGACACGCTGCTTGTCTCATCGCTTCCCTCTGATTTTTTGTGCTTCCGTTTGTCCTGATCAAATAATAATATTTAATAAATAATTTTCATGTTTAAATAAAAACTACAGGCAGTGCAGACGTGGTTTTCAGGGCTCCTTTGTGATAAAGGTTACAGGCACTGCCTTCTAGCAAGCTGTAAGAAAACTAATTAAATCAGAGGTGTTGGGCTAAATGACATAATATTGCAGTCTAGCTGTAAACCACTACAAAATGTCACCACAATTGCTAAGATTATCATGGGCAGAGGGGAGTGTAGAGAATATCATGGGCAGAGGGGAGTGTAGAGAATACCATGGGCAGAGGGGAGTGTAGAGAATATCATGGGCAGAGGGGAGTGTAGAGAATATCATGGGCAGAGGGGAGTGTAGAGAATATCATGGGCAGAAGGGGAGTGTAGAGAATTTCAGGGGCAGAGTGGAGTGTAGAGAATATCATGGGCAGAGGGGAGTGTAGAGAATATCATGGGCAGAGGGGAGTGTAGAGAATATCATGGGCAGAGGGGAGTGTAGAGAATATCATGGGCAGAGGGGAGTGTGTAGAGAATATCATGGGCAGAGGGAGTGTAGAGAATATCATGGGCAGAGGGGAGTGTAGAGAATATCATGGGCAGAGGGGAGTGTAGAGAATATCATGGGCAGAGGGAGTGTAGAGAATATCATGGGCAGAGGGGAGTGTAGAGAATATCATGGGCAGAGGGAGTGTAGAGAATATCATGGGCAGAGGGAGTGTAGAGAATATCATGGGCAGAGGAGAGTGTTGAGAATATCAGGGGCAGGAGAAGAGTGTAGAGAATATCAGGGGCAGGAGGGGAGTGTAGAGAATATCATGGACAGAGGAGAGTGTAGAGAATATTATGGACAGAGGAGAGTGTAGAGAATATCATGGGCAGGAGGGGAGTGTAGAGAATATCATAGGCAGGAGGGGAGTGTAGAGAATATCATGGCCAGAGGAGAGTGTAGAGAATATCATGGACAGAGGGAGTGTAGAGAATATCATGGGCAGGAGGAGAGTGCAGAGAATATCATGGACAGAGGAGAGTGTAGAGAATATCATGGACAGAGGGAGTGTAGAGAATATCATGGGCAGGAGGAGAGTGCAGAGAATATCATGGACAGAGGAGAGTGTAGAGAATATCATGGACAGAGGGAGTGTAGAGAATATCATGGGCAGGAGGAGAGTGTAGAGAATATCATGGGCAGGAGGGGAGTGTAGAGAATTTTAGGGGCAGAGGGGAGTGTAGAGAATATCAGGGGCAGGAGGAGAGTGTAGAGAATATCATGGACAGAGGAGAGTGTAGAGAATATCATGGGCAGGAGGAGAGTGTAGAGAATATCATGGGCAGGAGGGGAGTGTAGAGAATATCATGGGCAGAGGAGTGTAGAGAATATCATGGACAGAGGGAGTGTAGAGAATATCATGGGCAGGAGGAGAGTGTAGAGAATATCATGGACAGAGGAGAGTGTAGAGAATATCATGGACAGAGGAGAGTGTAGAGAATATCATGGGCAGAGGAGAGTGTAGAGAATATCATGGGCAGAGGAGAGTGTAGAGAATATCATGGGCAGAGGAGAGTGTAGAGAATATCATGGGCAGAGAGGAGTGTAGAGAATATCATCGACAGGAGGAGAGTGTAGAGAATATCATGGGCAGAGGAGAGTGTAGAGAATATCATGGGCAGAGGAGAGTGTAGAGAATATCAGGGGCAGAGGAGAGTGTAGAGAATATCATGGGCAGAGGGAGTGTAGAGAATATCATGGGCAGAGGGAGTGTAGAGAATATCATGGGCAGAGGAGAGTGTTGAGAATATCAGGGGCAGGAGAAGAGTGTAGAGAATATCAGGGGCAGGAGGGGAGTGTAGAGAATATCATGGACAGAGGAGAGTGTAGAGAATATTATGGACAGAGGAGAGTGTAGAGAATATCATGGGCAGGAGGGGAGTGTAGAGAATATCATAGGCAGGAGGGGAGTGTAGAGAATATCATGGCCAGAGGAGAGTGTAGAGAATATCATGGACAGAGGGAGTGTAGAGAATATCATGGGCAGGAGGAGAGTGCAGAGAATATCATGGACAGAGGAGAGTGTAGAGAATATCATGGACAGAGGGAGTGTAGAGAATATCATGGGCAGGAGGAGAGTGCAGAGAATATCATGGACAGAGGAGAGTGTAGAGAATATCATGGACAGAGGGAGTGTAGAGAATATCATGGGCAGGAGGAGAGTGTAGAGAATATCATGGGCAGGAGGGGAGTGTAGAGAATTTTAGGGGCAGAGGGGAGTGTAGAGAATATCAGGGGCAGGAGGAGAGTGTAGAGAATATCATGGACAGAGGAGTGTAGAGAATATCATGGACAGAGGGAGTGTAGAGAATATCATGGGCAGGAGGAGAGTGTAGAGAATATCATGGACAGAGGAGAGTGTAGAGAATATCATGGACAGAGGAGAGTGTAGAGAATATCATGGGCAGAGGAGAGTGTAGAGAATATCATGGGCAGAGGAGAGTGTAGAGAATATCATGGGCAGAGGAGAGTGTAGAGAATATCATGGGCAGAGAGGAGTGTAGAGAATATCATCGACAGGAGGAGAGTGTAGAGAATATCATGGGCAGAGGAGAGTGTAGAGAATATCATGGGCAGAGGAGAGTGTAGAGAATATCAGGGGCAGAGGAGAGTGTAGAGAATATCATGGGCAGAGGAGAGTGTAGAGAATATCATGGGCAGGAGGAGAGTGTAGAGAATATCATGGGCAGAGGAGAGTGTAGAGAATATCATGGGCAGGAGGCGAGTGTAGAGAATATCATGGGCAGGAGGAGAGTGTAGAGAATATCATTGGCAGGAGGAGAGTGTAGAGAATATCATGGGCAGAGGAGAGTGTAGAGAATATCATGGGCAGAGGAGAGTGTAGAGAATATCATGGGCAGAGGGGACTGCTGAGAATATCATGAGCAGAGGTAAATGTTGAGAATATCATGGACAGAGAAAAAACCTACAAAGGTAATAAGAGCTGCAGATGTTGCAAGATTCGTTATCAAAACTAATCCTAGACCAACAATATGACATAACACTGACAGCAACGCCGTTTGACCCTGTTACTTGTAAACACTTTCTTACAGATGCAGAAATGTCAAAACTGAAACAAAATCTTGTTTTTCTTCACGTTATCCAGCTAGAAACTCCGGCAGAAAGTTATGACAGTTTGTCGACTTCTGGACTTCAGTCTTAGGTGTTGCATGTATAACTGTTTTTTTTCTACAAAGCTTTTATGTAGGCAAACTGTTGGGTTCTTGCCCCTCGGGTGAACTCTGACTTTGGATGAAAGAACTAATTAGTCAACTCTTATGATATGCTTGTTAGGGAGGCTGTGGGTAAATGACCCCCCCCCCCCCCCCCCCAAATTGGGGCCCTAAAATCCACACACAGAGAGTATAGCTGAACTTGAGAAATTAACAAAAATAAAATAAAAACAGGCGATGTTTCAATTAGTTAGTCTTTCCCCTTGAGCCTAAGGTGGCGCACAGGGCAGAGGTCAAAGCTCTCCACGTCTGGCAGTTCGTTAAAAATCTGCTTAAGGTCTTGGATGTTTGTTAGGACCATCGCTGAGCCTTCCCTGATGATGATGGTTCTACACATGGTCTCTCTTGGTCTTCCCCGTTTTCCTGCTGGTGCCCATATGAGGGCTTGATGGGGGAGTCTGGTCTTATCCATTCTGGTGTCCATATGATGGCTTGATGGGGGGGAGTCTTGTCTTGTCCATTCTGGGTGCATGGCCGATGTGATTCCAGCAGTGCTTTCTTATAAAATGGCTTTGTTCGCCGTTAAGAAACGCCATACCTGAGCCAGCTCACCTGCACTCACTCACCCCAAGAATTTCCATACTGTACTCATACGCAACACTACACACTTGAGTTGTTTCCTCTAACTGAAACATAGTTCTAACATTCCGATAACTAATTTGCAGACCAATCTTTTGTTAAAGAAACAGATTTCTAGATGTTGCAATGAGAAGATTTTAGTAGTAAACTTGTGGGTGGCGGAACTCTTTGGACTAGTGGAGCAGAGCTAATGTCTCCCAACAAGCATTTCATAAAAGACAAATATTTAGGAGTTTCCTGACATCAGATGTGTGGGCCTGAAACACAGATATCACAGCCTACCTGTAAACCTCAACACAAGTTGCTAACCGACTTTTCAAGAGCAAAAATAAAAGGTAAAGAAAAATACACAAATGGTACCAAAATTTGTCACATCTTTTTATATTTATATATATATATATATAAATATATATATATATATAATTTCTGTGTATGTGTGCCCGTGTCTCTGTGTGTGTATATATTATATATACACGTGCTCTTACATACTCTTTTCGATTTCAAACTGCCAAGGGATTTTTAATGTGCGCGACAATGCACACGGGCGTCTGATCTTACTTCCCAGAGACCAGGGGGAATTACTAGAAGTCCAAGTCCACGTGACAAAAATCCCAGCCCTTACTGGGGATTGAACCCAGAACTTCCAGCACTCAAGGCGGACACCATGCAGCTCCCAATTTAATCAGTAATGTTTAACCCGAGGATTCGAATTAAAACAAACTAGTATAGTTTTTTCCCCATCTGTCTTGGGTAATGGAACCTGCTGTGTGTTTTATGCTTGCTGATAGAAGCTTCTTCAACATCTTTTATTTCTGTAACTGTACTTCTGTATAAATCTGTTTCCCACATGTTTAAATTAGCATTCATAAAACTGCAGAAAACACCCTTTACAAGCCACCTGAGGTGTCACGCAGTATTCTAACAATAACCCTGCCTAAAGACTCACCTCTGATTTGGGTGGAATTATGTCAGTGGGGCGATTCCTGGTGTTTGATGACAAACCTAAACAAACAAATGAGATTTATTTTAGAAGCTCTCTACATTAGAAATCCAAACTTAAATATTGATTTATAAGAAAAACACATACTAAACAATCTCATCATTGAAATTAAAACATACAAATAAACAGTCACCCCAAAAAAAAAATTACACTCATTTTTAAAAAATAGAAAGTAAAGACAAGCCACATATTCTCAGCATTATACATTTTTAAAATGTAAACTAAATATTCTCAGTATCAGCAAAAGAAACATATTTAACATTCTCAACATTATAAATGAATATAAAATATATTCTAAATACCAGTACCGTGGTCAGGAAGGACTGACTTCCCAGAATCACCATTACTCTTGTCTCACAAGCAATCAATCAACAGGTTCTTTATAAACTGTCGCTTCATTCACTGCAAGCCTGACAGTCTCTAGTCAAGTCTCCAGTTCAATGAGCTTTCTTAACTAGTACATTTTCAACTTCCTGGCTCCACATTCCGGAACAGGATGCTGTTTATGAGCTGCCAGTTCCCCTCGATGTTCACGCCATGCCGGCTCAGGTTTGTCTTTTTTCTGGTCCAGTTTTCGGAGAATTCCCCTCTAACATTTTAGTCTCATAAACAGTGCACAAAAAGTCAAGTGGTCTGCAAGTCTGAGCTGTTTTATAACCACTGTTGTGGAGGATTACATTTGAACTCACCAAAGCTGACATATTCATGTTACGATGACTGAACCTATTAAAATGGGACTGCATATAGCTGAGCGAGTTTGATGTAGAGCAGGGCTTACTAAACTATGTTTACCCAGGGGCCACAATTTTAAAAACAAATGTGGATTGTCACGAGTCAGAAGTCTAAGTCGTAGTGTGGAAAGATCATTAAAACAATGTAACTAATAATGTCACTCGCTGTGCTCCTGTGTCTGCTAATTGAATAGTAGAGGCTTGTCACTTATGGTTATTGTAATGAAGTGTTTTTTAATGAAGTATCTGGGCACATGGATAACATCAGATGCATAACTGAGATAAGAAATAGAATAGGACAGGCAAAAACTGCATTTTATAAAATGAAAAACATCTTGTGCAATATATCCTTGTCATTGAGAGTTAGAAAAAGAATTCTTGCTTGCTACATACATCCAGTTTTAACATATGGCTGTGAATCCTGGACAATCGGTAGGCAGGCCAAACAATTTCTAGAGGCCTCGGAGATGTGGTTTTACAGAAGAATGCTTAGAATACCTTGGACAGCCAAAAAAGAGCAGCCAAGAGGTTTTGAAAGAGGCGGGAGCCCGAAGACAACTAATCACAGACATCAGAAGGAGACAGTCATCATTTTTCGGCCATGTTATGAGAAGAGGGAAAATATAACATGTTGTGACCACTGGAAAGATCTGTGGAAGGAGAGATAGAGGAAGACAACGAGAGAAGATGCTTGACAGTCTTGTTGCATGGCACAGAGGTGTGTCGGCACACGAACTGATACATGCTGCAGGAGATCGCAGATTGTGGAGAGGCATGATCGCCCAAGCCAGTCGAAGAAGCACCTGATGATGATGATGAATGAAGTGTTCGGGATAAATTAGGGAAAGTTTGTAGAAACAAATACAGAACAGAACAAAATTAACAAAAAATAACTTACTTAAAATGCTCACACAGTCAAACGGTTTCTTTGCTGGGGCATCTTTCCATTCATATTCATCCTCGTCTTCGTATAAGTACCTGGAGGCGTCAATTTTTGGCTTCTCTGATTTATCATCCAGAAACTCTGACCACGATCTGAACGTGAAACAAAATAAAAAATGCAATAACGACAACAGCAATTTTATATAAACATTAGTCGGGGTTCCAATCTCACCTCAAGAGTATTGATAGGTCTTTAAAATATAGGTCTAACCCTATATGCCTGAAGGCGTTGAAAAAGCTTCTTTATTTTCAAGAAAGTTTCAGTTTTGCTAATCACCTTCAATTCCCAGCAAGACTTACCCTTGTTGACACAGGTGAGTAAATATTTATTATCTTCATGACTGCTTCAAGGGTTCTCAAACAGTCTCACCATGACCCCAAGCTGTTCAAACACATCATGACCCCAAGCTCTACAAACACACGTCATGACCCCAAGCTCTACAAACACACGTCATGACCCCAAGCTCTACAAACACACGTCATGACCCCAAGCTCTACAAACACACGTCATGACCCCAAGCTGTACAAAAACACATGTCATGACTCCAAGCTGTGCAAACTTCATTCAACCAAAAAAAAAAAAAAAAAAAGAACATGAACTTTGACCGGTATCACAAAACACATTCAAACATGCACAAGAAAAATACTAACATAGGTTTGCTGTGGTCCTCTTTGATGATTCTCTTCAAGTTCTCGTAATCCTCAGCTGTTGGCATCTCCTCCTCATCATCTGATAACTGGGTGCCACATCGGAAGCCCAAACCTTCCTCAAAGTTCTTCAGAATCTGCAAGAGGTTCAGTGACACCCTCAGTAGATTAACTTCAAACATTACAGTAAAGGACAGCCATGTCCATGCCAGTAACATTTAGGCATATGGCCAAGAAAGTTTAAAAAATATACTTTTAAAACAAAGTAAAGGACCCCTTTTTCACGCCCTCAGTCTGTATTGGGCATATAGGGCGTGACCTATACTGTGTAGATAATTTGCACTTAGCGGGTGATGTAGTCAACATCCCGCCAGCTGCCTTTACTTCCCATTACTTTACCCAGTACCTATTTTAAGCCTTTTGCTGCTACGTACTCTGCAGCCATCGTCACCACCAATATTTGATTAGCTTCTCTTTAAGTGCCCGAAAGAAAATCTCACATGTGATAGGTGATTGTTGATGCACTGCAACAAAACATTTTTTGATAACTGGCTATTATTTATAAATGAAAATCTCATATCTGATTGGCTCTCGTGTGCCACAATCAATGTGCTAAATGCATCTCTATTTGTTACAGCTAGACGTTCTGTGGCGGCAGACCAAGTCACATGTGAGAAAAGTCTGGTTAAATTAGGCAGATCATCTTGACTTATCTTTAGCAAGGTACGGGGTGTGGCCAGACAAGAGCATTATACAGGAAGCCAAAGAAAAATAAGAAACAAATACTAAACCGGTAGTTGAGTGTGCAATGAGGATAATCTGTCCACTAACTAACTGGCAAGATAGAGAGAGACAGACAGAAAGAGAGAGACAGACAGAAAGAGAGAGACAGACAGACAAAATACCAATAATCAAACGCATTATAAACATGATACCAAAAAGGACACAAGCATAAAGAAGAAAAACAATATGCTGATCCCCCATGTGGGTTCCTGGGTCCCATTGTGGGGAAAACAAGAATAGACCCACTACCTCCCCAAAAGCATGTCGTAAGAGTCGACTAATTGGGAAGCTTCCTTTGAAGTCGGAGTGCATCTGCCGGAGAGGCAAGGAACCAAGAGTCTATATTCAAGAGAATGAGATCTGTAAAACTGATGCACACGCAACACTCGGGTTCTGGAGCAGGACTGCAGTTCAGTAGTGAACGAGCAACCAGAACTTTCCGCCAGAGTTTACAGCTGGTGAACGCGAAGAAGAAGAATATGCTGATCATAAATTGCATTAAAAAACATTAATGGCGCAAAAAATGCAACTAAGAAATCTGACATCACAAATGATAAACAGTAGGCACACAGTCCTAAGAAATAACCACCCCTGTACACAAGCTCACAGTTGAACAGTAAAGTCTGGGCACATTTTAAAACGGCTGCAGCTGAAATAAGCCAAAATGCTGAGAACATATGCAAGTGCCGACAATCACATACTTTCAACAAACTTTCATTTTCAATTTTTGTTGTTTCGGCAGGAAACCCCCCCCCCCTCCCAATTGCCTATCACTGCAAACTGCAACTCTAATGTGTGCTTATAGCGTAGTATAACACTACTGTCTGGAGCACGAAAATGTGCAAACAATGTGAAAGCCTGATATACCAATTTCATGACTGTTCCTCTTATGTATACACAATTACTTTCTAGAACCAAAGTATATGGAACTGATAAACATACCAAGGCAGTCTGGGCCTCTGCAATATCATCCTGTACGTTGCCTCTGCCACGGGAGGGAGCAGCCGAAGACAGTTTGTCTTCCTCGTCTGTGTAATCCTCGTCACTGACAAAGGACCCACCCTCCTCTTGTTCATCTGTGTTTTCATCTTCTTCCTCATCAGAGATGTCTGTATCAGTGCTAAAATGTAAGAAAGATGACACCGGTAATTTACTTGCTTACAGAAGCTCAGTGACTATAATGATACATTTTTGGAGACTTCCCAAGAAAGTTCCGGGGAGAGAGGGGGGGGGGGGGGGGGGGGGGGGGGGGGGGGGGGGGTAATACCCATTGCCCCAATCAAAAGAATGTCTTAAATATTTTTCTGTTGTCTTTAAGATGACTAATTTTTAATTTGCTGAAACTTGGTGTGTTGGGTTGAAAGGGGCAGACATTGCAGCCTAGCTGTAAACCACAACATGGTTTTTACAATCTACTGTGATAAACATTTGGTGTGTTTTTCGTTGGAGAGGAGCAACTATGGGGTGACCCATTTGCCATGAAGCTAAAACTAAGATTACCAGATAACCACAACAAGGTTTTTACAATCTACTGCAGAAGAAGAATACACTACAAAGCAGGAATGGACAGTCACAACACAAGCAAACACAATGAAGTTTAGCTAAAAGCAACGTACTGAGTATCCGCGTGCGTTACATAGGAGCTATGAATGCAGTTCATAAATTCAAACATGGTGGGTTTGATTCAGCTGCATGTGATTTGGCCGCAAACCAGTGCATGTGATCAGAAAGCAATGACAAACTACTAAATATAAAACTACCTAGTAAAACCACACTGCTAAGGATACGCAAATCCGTACAACTTTCTAAACCACAGGAGTCTATCCAAAAAACAACATGAACACTTTCACATGTGTTGTCTATGTTTGATTTGTTCAAAGTCAGACGGAACTTTGGTAGCTATGTTTAGTATTATGTCATCACAAAGAATATAATATAGAATTATGTCGTCACAAAGAATATAATATAGAATTTTTTTTAGTCATGTTCGGTATGATGTTCTAAAAATTAGAAACATTTATGACCCATGCGTGGTATTTTTTCCTAAAGACAGAAAAACTTACAACAACGGTGTGGTATAAAGTTCTCCCAAAAATTACAACAGCAACGAGCTGTACCCTCTAAAATTATATCAAATTATTAGAGCCATGAGTGGTATGATCATCTCCCAAAATTAAATCTGAGCATGAAGCTATGAGTGTTCTGTATAATGTTCTGCCGACGCATCTTTATCATTAACTCGTTCTGTCCTGTCAAAGCCACACTTTATATATATATATATATATATACATACACATATATATATACATATATATATATACATATATATATACACATATATATATACACATATATATATATATATACATTTCTATATATACAGACGTATGTGTGTGTCTAGTAATCTATCAACGGTCATGGGTCATTTACCATACAGATTTATCTAATTCCTCTTCTCTTTGTCTCTTTGAGCCAGCTTTTACAAGTGTCAGCTTGCTAGACCTGTTGCAGTTTCAGGAAGTCTTTCATCAAATTGTTTCCATCCTACTTCATGAGAGATAACTGTTTCCATGAGGCCCACTCTGTTACTTTCTCTATACTAATTCAGCTAATATAATTTAGGATTTAACTCTCTGAGTCCCAGACAGTTTAGCATCACAGGCTTAAGGGGTAGTTAAGAGAGATGTAAAATCAGTGCATCATGCATTCATTGGGCTTCTAGGAAGGAACCTATAAACGTCTAATGCATTCCTTGGGACTCAACGAGTTAACAGTGAAACTAACCCATCATCCTCCTCCTCCTCCTCATCATGATGTGCTACTGGTACTGCACCTCCTGCCTTTTCAATAAAATCATCATCTAAGAAGATTTCATCAGCAATAGCATCAAGGTTGTCCTCATCAGTTATGTTCACAATGGGGGCATCATCTAGCGCTGCTAGGATCTCAGGATCAATGTCATCTTCTGCAAGAAAACAATTTAAACAACAACAAAATTAGAAACACAAATGGGCAGAACAGAATAGGATTGCATAGGGGGAAGTCGGGCAGAAAATAATCAGTAACTGAACATAAACAATTAGAATTAGTTACTGAGAGAAAGGAAGATGGAAAAGTGAGTAAATTTCTTTCTGAGGAGAAAATGACGAACAAACAGCAAAACCAAAATCACCTAGCAACGTATATATGTTTACGATCGTGCAGCGGCATTAGATATACAGGTTGGCTGTGAATACATTGAAAAAGCAGCCGTAAACTAACACAGGTGGTGGTCATTGAATGAATTAACTTTATATTTAAAGGGATACAACTAAGAGGAAGCAAGCTGGCTGGTGGGTCAGCTAGCGTCCGACACACCTATCTGGAGGATCAAACGTTACATCCTGCACTCATCTTCTCTTTGACCTTTTTCTTCCTCTCTTTCCAGGCATATATCCTTCCATTATTGTTCTCTCCAAACTTTCGTGATGTTTCAAGTGACCAAAATATTTCAATTTTCTGTGTTTTTATCATCTTTAAAAGCCAACCTTCTTCAATAACAATAACAGCTACCTCTATACTAAAAAATACTGCCAAACTCCATGACATGGCCACTTTTGAATGACGCAGAAGTTAAATGAAAAGTGGAAATGTGGTTTAGAAAACAGAACACGCAGTTCTATGCAGCAAGTTTGGGAGGATTTATAAAACGATGGGACAATTGCATCGATGTTGGTAGAAATTATGTTGGGGGGAAAAAAGAGACTATGCGTGTAAAAATTAATGGTTTTCAAGTTGTCGTCATCTTTAGGTTTTTCTTAAACAACCATTTGTGACGTACTTATTGACTTTCACTCGCATTACACTGAATATACCCAAGATCAGACAAGACCATACACACAATGTTCAGCCATGCTGGACGAGGATGAACTCACCCTCCGTGGCGTCTGTAGAAAAATGTTCCACAAAAGTAGGCAGCCTGCTGCTCGTGGTCGACTGCGTCTGGTGGAAGAGAATTGGTAAAACTTTTACTGGACCTTTAAAGGAGTTAAAAATATATGCAGGAATTTCTCATCACTAGAAAATAGTGGGAAATTCCTTAAAGGAGAATTTGTAAATGAACTTATTTTTTTAATGATAGCGTGTTCATCTGTAAGCATCATCAACAATTTCCACTTTAGCCATTAGGAATTGTGGAGAGGAACAGTTTGTGATCCATTGCTGGATGGGTAGCATTGTGGAGAGGAACAGTTTGTGATCCATTGCTGGATGGGTAGCATTGTGGAGAGGAACAGTTTGTGATCCATTGCTGGATGGGTAGCATTGTGGAGAGGAACAGTTTGTGATCCATTGCTGGATGGGTAGCATTGTGGAGAGGAACAGTTTGTGATCCATTGCTGGATGGGTAGCATTGTGGAGAGGAACAGTTTGTGATCCATTGCTGGATGGGTAGCATTGTGGAGAGGAACAGTTTGTGATCCATTGCTGGATGGGTAGCATTGGCTACTGTCATTTCGAGTCAATGGAGAAGCTTTTTCATGTCATCAGTACATCTTCTCCTAGGGTGGCCTCCTGCTTTCACTTCAGATCTTTCAATGTGTAGCGTCTGCGTTGTTAGTTGTTCTTGTAACTTCAGATCTTTCACTGTGTAGCGCCTGCGTTGTTAGTTGTTCTTGTAACTTCAGATCTTTCAATGTGTAGCACCTGCGTTGTTAGTTGTTCTTGTAACTTCAGATCTTTTAATGTGTAGCACCTGTGTTGTTAGTTGTTCTTGTAACTTCAGATCTTTCAATGTGTAGCACCTGTGTTGTTAGTTGTTCTTGTAACTTCAGATCTTTCAATGTGTAGCACCTGTGTTGTTAGTTGTTCTTGTAACTTCAGATCTTTCAATGTGTAGCACCTGTGTTGTTAGTTGTTCTTGTAACTTCAGATCTTTCAATGTGTAGCACCTGTGTTGTTAGTTGTTCTTGTAACTTCAGATCTTTTAATGTGTAGTGCATGCGTTGTTAGTTGTTCTTGTAACTTCAGATCTTTCAATGTCTAGCGCCTGTGTTGTTAGTTGTTCTTGTAATGAGAGTTGTTTCTAGAACCAAGACTCATTTGTCAGGAGACACGATACTGAGCATAGTCAGAACTGATGGAAAATGAACAAAGCAACCTTGAAATTCCCCTTCTAGAACCATCCCTTGTTCAAAAACAGAAAGATATTATGTAAATAAATAACCTAGTTATATAAACAGCAGTTGGTGTAATCTAGATGATGTATTTATTCGCTTTCTAGAAGACCTCAAATAGCCAGCTGTCAATCCGGTTGGTGTATTTAGGTGCAGAACTAGGATGATGCAGTCAAGATGCTAAAAGAAAATCCCACATGGAGAACCTTCTAGAAGCAGTTTAGTTAAAAGAAATCGCATTTCACACATGGAATTATGAAGGCACTTAGGCGATCGTCAGTCTACAAGACTTCGAAGCAGAGGGACTAGTGACATCATAGACCCTCACAGACAAGAAGCTTTAGTTGTGGAGATGCCAGCTCAACACAAGAAGAAGAGGAAATAGTTACATGGAGCCTCAAAGACAGTCATTAGAGAGGAAACATAAAACGAGACATAGAACTACAGAGACAACAGACAAGATACATGGTCAACAGGGACACATTACTTAGATGATAGAGTCGACGATCAAACCCTTAGTACCAGATAGCACTAGAAGCCAGGTGGCAGTCATGATAAACAGAAAAAGTAAACAAAGTTGAAGAATACAACTGCAACATCAAGAGTATACAACTATAGAGTGAAATCAGCTGTCATTCAGAATATCGATTTCATTTATCACATTTAGAGACGACAATAAAGTAATAAACTGAAAAGAATAGTTGTTTCAAGACATTTTGTTATACAGGCATCAGTTATGAGAGAAACATAGATCTAGCAAAATGTCATCATCATTACCACTACTATCAACTTTCTATATGTTTATACCCTTCCAACTGACTCCTGTAGCAAACTTAAGACAAAACTGAGTGTGACATCAACACATACAAGAAAGACTGCTGAGCTGCAATCTAACTAAATGACCAAACCATATGATCTTGTTTCTTAATGAATTTGCTGCAGTGTTGTTCCTACAGTCTTATAATATCAATTTTAACTTTGTCTTGGATATTCTTCATCACAGCCTCAAAACACCATGTAACTGGACCACCTGCTGTACTCATTCTGTGTAGATAATCAAAATTCCAGGTTCCCAGGTGCCTCCTGCCTGTTTTTAAAGTTACACAGACTATGATAAATGAAAGCCTAGGATTACGGAAGCGAGATTAAACAGTCATGAGCAGAACGTGACGATTCCTTAAGTGAGCCCAGTAGCAGAGCACCATGTATTGTGGCTCTGCATTTACGGAAGCCTCCCTGGACGGCAGGGAATGCTCAAATAGGGCCCTGCATTCTGTTGAAGGCTGACCAGCATTAAGTGGCTTTTCTGGACTGGCCTGACTGCAAAGTCCGACGAGACTAACCTGGAAGCCTAAGCCGGGCAACAAATGCCTGCAGAAGTTGGATGTGTTCTGCCGTTAGGCACAATTATTACAGCTATGCTGTACACACATTTACATCTTCAGCTGAACTCAGAAGAACGATGATGACCAGTTGCTGTTGATTATCTAATCAGCGGCTTCCATCTCCGTCGTTCAGATCCAGTGGACTTGATGCTTACGTATTTGAGGAATGTCCAGTCTGACAAATTCCCGGAAATAAAATGTGTTGAGAACATCTGTTTCTTTTCATTCACCAGCCGCACACCCTAGCATAAAGTTCTTGTTGTTCGTCTATGTCTAGATTTTGAAGGATCTAAGTTTTGTATGTGCACTCATTTTATAGATCTGGCATAAGTGTAGGCAGACTCCTATGGCATGCTTGCTAGGGAGGCAGTGGGTTTATTCTTGTTCCCCCTCCCATCCCTACAGAGCCCCAGAACCCACCCATCCCTACGGAGCCCCAGAACCCACCAATCCCTACGGAGCCCCAGAACCCACCCATCCCTATGGAGCCCCAGAACCCACCCATCCCTATGAAGCCCCAGAACCCACCCATCCCTACGGAGCCCCAGAACCCACCCATCCCTACGGAGCCCCAGAACCCACACATCCCAATGGAGCCCCAGAACCCACACATCCCTACAGAGCCCCAGAACCCACCCATCCCTACCGAGCCCCAGAACCCACACACAGTAATCAGATCATCGAATGATTTAACAGAACACTGTAGTCAATAAGTAACGTCAACGTCTATTCTAGTTTTCATTGTTAATAGTCGTACTGTCTGCTGCATCTGGACATCAAAATAAAAGGGAAATAAAAATTAATACACCGGTAGGTAAACAGAAAAGAATAAATGTTCACCTCAAAATCTTTGTCTACGTGGCCAGTAACCACAAGTGTTGCCTGCTCGTCGAGTGACCGTAAGTGTTTCATATAATTATAGGCATCATCATAAAATATCCCATACTTTCTCTGCTCCTCTTTTCTGGCATCCAGCTATTTGAGATAAACAACATTACAAAAAATCAAAGTACATAACACAATTGTAAAATGGTCTTATTTTAAAAAAAAAAATGCTATGCTCACCTGCGGATTTGAAGGCAATGGGTTTGATTCTGTTTGGGGCCGAGCTTTTCTTATTTTAAACAATGCCCTTCATCCGCAGGTTGATTCAGCTCTGGGTACCAGGAAGAGTTCTGGGAAGTTACGTCAGCCGGCATGATGTTGACATTACCCACTGTGAGCCGATTGGTATATAAAATATAGGTCTAGCCATAAAGTTGGGCTATTTAACTGGCGGCACGCAGGTCTAACAATTGGTCCACGGATCATTGCCAGTTGCACTGTACTATTGATCTTTAAATGCTTGTGGTCTGACCTCTGACCCTTGTTGACCCCAGAGTAAACTTGAAGGTGAATAGCCCTGCCCTAAAGGGTCCTTTACTTATACAAAAGTGATAACTTCTTCTCCGCCTCCGTTCACCCTTCAGAGGCCAGTTGGTATGTTTTGTGGTTTACAACTAGGCTGTGATATCTGTACCTTTTGCCAAACACTTCCAATTTCAACAAACCCTTAACTGGTTCAATTTTACTTCCTTAAGGACATCCTCTGTGCTCAATTAAAGATGGAAAGAAGATGTCGAGAACAGCCTCTACTACAATAAAAAGATGTGTGCAAGTGGGACATGAATGATACAGATGTGGATTCACGGGAACAGGATGTCATGGAACGTATTTCATGAGGGAAGAAAATCAGGAAGGGAACCTCCATAAAAGAGACAATTACTATAGATGAGTAACCACCTCAGTGTCTGAGAAGGAGCACATTAAATTCATGCAACAGACAACAACAAACAAGTCCAGGGTTTCAGGGCTACATAGCTAGTGCTGTTGCCATGCACTATTCAGGTCAGGATTGTTTTCCTTAAAAAAAAACAACTTGTAACCTTACCAAGATTCAAACCTGAGACTCCCACTCAAGAGCCAAGTGTTCATAGCCACTTGGCCAATGTTTAACACAGCTGAAATATTAATTTGTTTATTAATGTAAAAAAAAAAGTCATTCAAATTCCCCATGCTGTAACCTATAAATTATATCTTGCTGGATCACTTCCTGTCACATGCTATCTGAGACGAGTTTGCGTGGGCACACAGCAAGCCCTCATAGTCAAGCGTGGAAGAATTTTTCCACCAGAAGATCTGACTCAACAGCTCAGTTATTATCTGTAATCTTATATACCACTGTATCCAGGGTTCTTTTCGGACGGTATACACTGGAATTGTACTGGCCCCGCAGTGGAATTGTACTGGCCCCGCAGTGGAATTGTACTGGCCCCGCAGTGGAATTGTACTGGCCCCGCAGTGGAATTGCACTGGCCCCGCAGTGGAACTGTATTAGCCCCGCAGTGGAACTGTACTGGCCCTGCAGTGGAATTGTACTGGCCCCGCAGTGGAATTGTACTGGCCCCGGGGGTCCTAATGGAGCAATGATGCGCAATACAAGACTCTTAATGTCTATTAGCCTCTCTTGCTCAAGCCTACCTCACCTTCACGTGGTGGACCCTGTTCTTCCCAGCAATCCAGTTGAAGGTTGGGGTCTCAACCCCCAGCGGGAAACTGGATGGGACAACAAACGAGGTAAAGGCGAAAGACGAATGGATGAGCCTTCTCTCCTCGAGTATGATCACAGTCTACCCTAGTAAAACAAGGTGCTGAAGTCGGAGGCAACCAGCCAAGAGGCGCACCACAGCAATCAGGATGCCACGCATACACGCCATGGAAATATGTCTATATCAGCAAAACGTTATGGTGCTCGCCCTGTGATGGACTCTCAGGCAGGAGCAGTGCCGGGCCCTCTGCCTCGAAGAGGCCCAACCCAAATTACTGGAGGTCCTTCTCAAATGTCCTGTGGAGCCAGGGGACGTGAGAATAGAGCATCTGGCCGAACTAAGAAAGGAGTCAAATTAATGCACTGGAATGCAGAGGGGATTACAAATAAAAAGCTAGAGTTAGAAAATATTCTAAATGAGGAACAGATTCATATATGCTGTCTACAGGAAACCCACCTCACTGAAGACACAGTCTTCAAAATCAGAGGTTATCAGTGCTTCCGATCAGACCGGAAAGGCAGGAAAAAGGGTGGAATATTGACTCTTGTGAGGAACAATATCACTGCTAGCCAGACTAAAGTATTTATGGAGGGAGCAGAATATCAGATTCTGAAACTACAAACTGGAAATGCAGACTCTACCTGATCAATTATTACTGCCCAAATGATCGTCCTCAGGCTTTAGACACAATCTCAGTGGAAGAAAAGATGATTCTATGTGGAGATTTTAACAGCCACTCACAAAGCTGGGGATATGACCATATAGACCAGAGAGGAGAGAAACTGGAGGAGTGGCAGGATGAGAACAGATTTGTTCTTATTAATAGGCCAACTGATCCACCCACATTCTACTCGAGGTCGTGGCACACCACTACTACCCCAGACCTAGCATTTCACTCTCCAGATCTGGAATGGAACATTAAACGAGTTGTTGGAAATCAACTGGGAGGCAGTGACCATCGATCGGTCTTCCTGAATGTAGAAAATGAGAAGGTCAGAGAAACTAGTACGCTGCCAAGGTGGAACTACAAGAAGGCTGACTGGACAATGTTCAAACACCGTACCAGTATACTGCTTGGAAATCTCAGCGTAGACCAGGATATAAACAAAGTAGTTAAAGAATTTAACAAATGCGTACTAAAGGCAGCAGGAGAATCAATACCAAGAGGTGCCCGTAAGCATTATAAGCCATACTGGAGTAATGAGCTAGAAAATTTACATAACGAAGTAGAAACATCCAGAAAGATAGCAGAGACCAGGCCAAACCAAGAACATCACAATAACTACCAGCATGCAAAAGCAAAATTTGTAAGGGCAAAGCTGCAGGTTAGAAGGGAAAGCTGGCAGGAGAAAACAAGGTCGCTGAACTTTGAAAAAGACACAAGAAAGTTATGGAAGCTTGTGAAACAAATTAATGATGAAGACACAGGGTGGAACTCAAAGATCACGCTGCAGAAAGATGGAAACATGGTCACAGGAAAAGAGGCAGCCAACCTATTTGCTGACACTTTTGCTTTAGATAACGACATTGAAATCAGTTCAGAGAAAAAAACACGAAATTCAAGAAAAACACACAATTAGAAGTCAGAAAGAAATAACATCAGAGGCGCTAGAGGTGCCAATTACACTTAATGAACTGGAGTTGGCCATTTCAAAGCTGAAAATGCTGAAGTCACCAGGAGCAGATGGTATATCAAACGAAATGATCAGAAACTTAGGAAAAGTAGCCAAAACAAAGCTTTTACAGATATTTAATGCTTGTTGGGCAACAGGGAATGTTCCACAGATCTGGAGAGAGGCAATTATGATACCCCTCATAAAGCCTGGGAAAGACAGTTCTAATGCTTCCAACTACAGACCAATCAGCCTCACAAGTTGTCTCTGTAAAACAATGGAGCGCATCACCAACCTCAGACTACAGTGGTACATTGAAAGTGAAAACATCATTACACCACAGCAGGCGGGCTTTAGAAAGTTCTATTCTACGGAAGACCAGACAACATACCTCTCCCAAGAAATAGAGGATGCTTTTCAAGATAAGAAACTGGTACTCGCGGCATGGATAGATTTAAGGAAAGCTTTTGATAAGGTTTGGAAGGAGGGGCTTTTGAAGAAATTGAGAAACTATAAAATAAATGGAAAAATGTACAATTGGATTAAAGCATATCTACATAACAGAAGAGCCCGGGTACAGGTAGATGGTTTTAAAAGTAAAAAAGTTCTACTGCGACAAGGCGTCCCTCAAGGTGGTGTCCTGTCGCCCACACTTTTCCTTTTATTTATCAACGATCTGGTTGCCGAGATACCAAATGGAATCAAAATGGCAATGTACGCCGACGACCTGGTACTGTGGTGCACCAATGAACATGCAACGATAGCCACAAAAACACTACAGCGGGCTACAAATGCACTTGAGGCATGGGCCAATAGATGGTGTGTCAGCATCAACACAGACAAATGTAGCACCACACTATTCACCCTCTCCCCAAAGCAAAAAGCTGGCACCATCAAAATAAACGAAATACCCCTGAGAGATGATAAAGAGCCCACATACCTAGGAGTCACATTTGATGACAGGTTGACATGGAGAAAACATATCAACAAGGCAGCAACCAAAGCCAGGAGGAAGACAGCAATACTAAGAAAACTAAGTGGAACCACATGGGGAGCAGATGGGAAAATACTCAATAAAGTATACAAGCAGAGCATACTTCCACACTTGGAATATGGGTCAACTGCATGGTGTTCAGCATCTAGTACCACATTAAAGGAGTTAGACAAAGTGCAAAATCAAGCGCTCAGAGTCATCACAGGAGGGATGAAATCAACCCCCATATTAGAAATGGAGAAAGCTGGGAAAACACAGGCACTGAGAGAACGCAGAGATACAAAGTTGCAAATACAAGCTGAAAAGTTCCTCAGTATGCCAGATCACCCGATGGAAAATAGATTTAAGAACCTAGCCTTGGGACGGTTAAAAAGAAGCAGCTTTATACACCAAGCAAAAAGAATATGTAGACAAACTCCTGACCTTCCAGAAATTGGCTGCCCACTAAAAAGTATTCCGGAACAAACCCCATGGAGAGAAAAATGTAAACTAACGGTACAAATCCAGACAAATGTGAAAGGGATATTTGACAAGAAAGAGCAAGATAGTGTACAACGCAAAATGGCCACCCTCAGTTATATTGATGAAGAATACCCACAAGAACAATGGGTCAGAGTCTATACAGATGGGTCCGCAGAAAGTGCAGTTAGAAATGGTGGTGCTGGAGTGTACATCGAATTCCCAGATGGTACTAGGGATAAGTCCAGCGTACCAACCGGGAAGTACTGCCATAACTACGATGCAGAAACCCAGGCTATTAAGATAGCTACAGAGAAACTGCTAAATACCAACCTTGGCTCACAGTATGTGGTAATGCTTACAGATGCTAAATCAGTACTTGAAGCACTCCAGTCTAGGAAACTACCAGAATTGCAAACACTGCTGACACAACTCAGCGTTCAGCGAAGAGTCGTAATGCAGTGGATACCGTCTCATTGTGGAGTGCCTGGAAATGAGAAAGCTGATCAACTGGCAGGGGAAGGTGCGAAAAAAGAGCAGCCAGATGTACCAGTCACATACCACCAAAAGAAAAGAATCATTAAATCGATCAGGAAACCACCAGCCCCAGCACAAGACGACTATTTTATTATGGACAGACCAGAACAAGTCATTATCTTCCGCCTCAGAACAGGGCACAACCGATTACGTAACCACATGTTCACAAAATTCAAGATAGGTGTATCAGCCATGTGCACCTGTGGAAATGTGCCCCAGACCGCAGAGCATGTACTCCAGGACTGCACCGAATTTGACACATTAAGGCAAACCTTTTGGCCAGAAAGAACAACAGTGGAACGTAAACTCTATGGACCACTGAATGAACTAACAACGACAGTGAAATTTATACAAGAGACAAAACTGCTGATATAGATAACTTATTTCAGGCGAACGAAAGAAGAAGAAGAAGTACTGGCCCCGCAATGGACCTGTAACTCCCCCTTTTCTGTGTTTTTTCAAGGCATCCTTTTTTTCAGCAGTACCATAGAACACTCTGAGGTACGTAAAGGTACCGTTTTTCTATTAAAAAAAAGCCCTGGTTTAATCACTGTCCATGTTGTCATCAACTTATGAAGGCTTTATGTTGCAATATTCATTCATTATTCATGAATTGTGTACTACTGGCAAGCTGACTAGTTCTACTTCTTATATAGGTTGACTTTTTGATTACATTTGTTCTTTGCAGCCTGTAACAAGACCAAAGTCCAAACGTGGACAACACAAAACCAGTATTTTCAGTCAGCAAACGTAGAGAAGAGGTGGTTGGGGAAATGAAAAAGGTAGATAAACTTGCAGAATCGCAAGAACAATGTCAAAAAAATGATAACGAACACAGACACTTTGCGCTAAAAGTGGAACCCGTAGCTGGTAAACCACCAGTCCCCAACTCAGAATACTGAAGAAAAAAAGATTACCTCCTCTGGGTCTTGAACTTTAGGGGGTGCATCTTCATCCTCATGGTAGCCAGGTATCAGACGGAATGTGGTGGCCTGTTTCTTGTTGATAAACTTCTTTTTCTTCTTCACTGGCTTTGGCTGGGGGAAAGACATGTAGATAAGAATTGGAGAGACATAAGCGTATACAACACAGATATAAAACAAAAATAATCTAATACAGAGATTATGGAAAAATTAAGCAAGTTCAAAGATGCACTTCTGCTGTTTTGTTTTTCAACAGAAGAATTAAGAGGTCACTACACAGCATTTTTTCTAATTTATGACAAAAATATCACTTTTTCAATGTGTTCGTTTTTTTAAAGTTCGGCATTTGTAGAATAGATGACACACAAAATTTATGTCATTTGTAAACAATTTAGCATAGAAAAGTTAATACTAACGACACCAAATCGTGCACTTTTTTAAGATAAAAAACGTTTAAAAGTCAGTTTTCTCAAATCTCTATATTTCAGTTTGCTGTGTGTGTGAAATCCTAAAATCTTAGCTAATATAAAGAATAGAAACATGAAATTTTGTATGCATACTCCGTAAACAATATTATAGGGACTGGTCTATCTGAAATTAGATTTTAGAAAGTTTTTTTTTTTTTTAATTTGATTATTGTCTTATGATGCTAGATTTTTTTGACTTTTTCAATAAACCTTCCTTTTAAAATTCTACGAAAAATATTTAAAAACATGTTTAAAGTAAATAAGCTAGACCTGTACCTCTAAATAGGACGACAAATTATGAATCCATCATATATTGGTGAATACCTATGTTTGTTTTTAAAATTTTAGGATTCTAAGTACATATTGTTTTTTTCACAAGATGGCGGCTATTGCCATGACAACTATGAATATTTTAACACTTAAAGTATACAAATGTAATAAAATGTATCCCTACAAATGACCATTATAAAATAACTGCTCTAACTCTGTAAATTAAACAAATAAAATTTTATGGTGTAGTGACCCCTGAAGTGGAACTGGAGAGTCATGCCCGCCACTGCTAGGTCTAGATGAACAGGTATCTACCAACGGACAAACAACCGGCGGGGAAAGACAATTTGTAACTAGGGATATAAAGTTCCCTATGGGAAAACAAGAACAGACCCTTTACGTCTGCAACAAGCATGTCACAGAAGGCAACTAATTGGGGGCATCCTTCAAAGATAGGGTACATCTGTCTGGAACCAACAGTCTGCATAAAAATAAGCAAGATGTCTAAAACTGAAACGCTCAGGTTCTGTAGTGTTAAAAGACTAAAGTCCAGTTGTGGATGAACACCCAAAACTTTACACTAGAGTATACAGCCGGATAACGCAAATAAGAAGAAATTGAAAGACTTGAAAAAACTTGAAACTAAAAATAAAAACTAACATTGAACAAAAGACAAAATGGATTATTGATTATATGGGCAAAAAATCTATTTTGGCACCATGTTAAAGCTAGTGAAGTGATAAATCCTTGTTTTTGGACAACTGTTTAAACACAGAAATCTTTTAGACTGAGTAAAAAGAAATACTATTAATTTTTTTGCCCATTTTGGAGGAGGTATTTACCTGTGTGCATCTGTATATTTATACATATTTATTACAAAATCACGAATAACTATTGTGGAAATGCACTGTAGGGGGGGGGGGGTGTCACAACTACCTACACTTAGTCTTACACTTACTGTCTTAGGTGACTGGCATAGCACTGATCTGTAATGAGTTATTAAAAATTAATGTTGCAGTGGAATTTCACTCTCCATTCCCCGCTGTTTGTATCTCTGATGGGTTCAAGGATTTGTCATTAGCAGACTGTGGACTGTTCTACTTATGGTCTTATTATTCTTATTCTTATGATTATGCCACCCTTTATATTATAAATTATTACTTAGGGTGGTGTATTGTGTACCACAACACTGTTGACAGTTGACATAGGTGTCGTGAGCCTGAGGATTTAAGGCCACATGGCTAGTGCTGTCACCATGGACTGTAAAGGTTAGGATGTTTAATTTGCCCTCGACGAGTAAACCTAAAACTAAAACTGTAAAGTTAAAATCCATCAACCTTCCTTTCTGTCTAATCTAATGAACTATGAACTAATCTAATTTCTTGTTAGTTAGTGTAGTGTTACCGTACCGTACCGACAGACAAGGGGTCGAACCAGCCGTAAAAATAAGCAATTAATGCAGTTATAGTATATTAAATCAGAGGTCTAATTATAGGATTGATATTTACCATGATGGCGAAGTTTCGTTCTAAAACAAATACAACAATGAAACAGAGGTGCCTCGTTAGTGAATAAAACTGAAACAAACAGTTGACTTCAGATGTCGCCCAGCATTGCCGGAAGTTGTGAGAACAGAGAATCAGCGTTCTTTCCCCCTTGTCGTGGACCCGTACATGTTCTAAGTCTACTGGGCTTATGCTGCTATACGTCAGAAATCAGGTAAGCCGGGTAATGGTGTGTTGTTGGGTTATTCATACTTACCTAGCTATAGGTGTTTCGTCCTTTTTAGGACGAAATTTTTTGTTATTTGAAGCCTCACCCTGGCTTTTGCCAGGGGCCGCAATATAGGCAGGCCATAAATATGACCAATTGTTTGAATGCGGTGGATTCTCATCCACATGGTGGCAATTTGTGTCATCGGGTGTTTATCGCTTGAGTGATGTCCTGGTGGGGGAGAAAGTCAGTCAGTCAGTCAGTCAGTCAAGACGGGTGAGGATGCACAATACAGAACAGCGATAAGGTCTACAGAGAATGATACAGCTAAGAGTGATCATACCGATACTATACTCACAGGAAAACAACGTTCTTGTTAAGTTGGTGTGTGCTCTTTGTACGACGTTGCAGGCCCACATCACCTTTATGAGGTTTTATTTTATCGGTAATTTTACATTCAGTAGTTTGCCATTGCCTTCTAAATGGCCCACTCTCCATTATCAAAAACCACATAAAATGGTCAGCTGCCAAATCGCCCACAACTTAATGTTATCGGATATTTCGGAATTACAAACCAAGTTCATAATCATAATGGAAGGACACAATATCAAACTCCTACTATTTACATAGGAAATAAAACTTTGTTCTGGCTGCTGAAGATAGGGATGTGCGCTTAAGGGAGTGTCTACAGAGCTGTGATGTAAGTTCTTAATTCATTTCAACAACTCAGCTAAAGCTAGAATGTGGGTAGTTGGTTTGCAATTGTTTAAACTTTGACAGGGACTCGTCCAGTCGATCGATCGGTTTGTCCCCACCGGGGTGTCAACTAAAGGTTTGCCACAATGCTGACCACATCACCCATCTTGTGCCGATTAGTCTATGGAAATATATAGGTCTAGCCCTATATGCCCTATACGCCTAAAGGCGTGAGAAAGGGACCTTTAAGTGTTTACTTTTTTTTCAGGTGGCACGGTGAGGAATATTTTGTATGACTTTCGCTGGCACAGGGACGGAGGTTGGAGGGAAAAGATAAACGGATGACCTGTTGACCCGGGAGTTTGAATCCCGGACTAATAAATAAATTACGTAATAGAGAGCTTCATGTTTGGATATGCAGTAACTGCAGTGAAACTTTTGATATCAACAACCTAGTTTTGATCTCAGACTATATCTGATTATATGATGGATTTTTCTCCTAATGTTTCTTTCCGCAGATGAAGCCCGTAGATGATGTAGGATGTCATTCTCACACACACCTGTTCTTCGTCTTTCTTTGGCGTGAAATAAGTTGTCTATAACACCAATCTTGTCTCTGGTTTCAACTTTACTGTAGTGTTTAGTTCCCTTTCCTAGTTCAGCCAGGCGCTCTATTCTCATGACCCCTGGCTCCACGGGACATCTAAGAAGGACTTCCAGTACTCGCGTTGGGCCTCTTCGAGACCGAGGGCCCGGCACTGCTCCTGTCTGAGCATCCATCACAGGAGTACTATGACATCTTGCTGGTTTAGACATATTTCTTTTGCGAGTGTGCGTGGCATCCTGATTGTTGTCCTGGCTGGCCGTGTCCGACTTCAGCACCTTGTTTTGTAAGTATAGACGGTGATCATACTCGAGGAGCCATCTGGTTTTACTGCGCAAGATACTCTCCTTCGCGCCTTTTCCTGTTGGTTCAAACATGAGAAGACCCGGAGCTGCACTTTTGCTGTCAAAGGTAATGAATGCACATGCCTTAGGGGTATTTGGTGAGTGCTGAGAGGTCATCCTAACCGCCATACCCAGCTATGACAGCAGTTTGTGAACCGCACACCCCAGTTTTTTCCACTACTGTGAGAGAGGTCAGATAGCTCTGCATAATAGTCCCAAATGGAAATAGTGATGGAAGACAAACCACAGCACTTTAGTGATTGGAGCCCTGTTGTCGGACTTCAGAATAACAAACTAGTCTTACAGAATACTCACAATCAGCAACACTTATCTGAGAAATCTTGAGGCCCCATACACTACCCGATGACATTGCTTATAAGTATTGCATGTCTCCTTCTGAGAGGTTCTGAAGCGACTGAAAATCCTCTTCTTCTTCTTCGCGTTCCCCGGCTGTCAACTCCAACGGAAAGATCTGGTTGTTCGTCTACTTTAGTCATATTAAGTTTAATTCTGTAAAATACGCTGACCCATGGTTGCCAAGAAAGCACCTTTTTTGCAGTGGATACAGGGAGCAAGAAGCGGCCTTCAGAAGACGGGATTCGCCAGAGGATATGTAAAAAGTCATGACGCTTCTGTGATAGACACTAGAGCGAGTACTCGCATCTTTGTTTTCTGGGAGCGGGGGGGGGGGGGGGGGAGTTAGAGCCCTTCACGATATTCTTTTAAACACCATAATGGAGGACAATTCGAAGGCAAGAGAGCAAGAGGTAGGCACCGACGCAAATGGGGGGAGGGGGAGGTGGGGGGGGGGATAACACAAAGACATTGACGAACAGGAGTCTGAGATGAAACCAAGATAAGAGACAGTGTGTTGAAGATCCATTGAAGTCAACATTCAGTCTCGAGAGGGCGCCCAATTAATCGAATGATCTGTTTGGAGTCAGACCTCGCGCATGCTAACAGATGCCACTAAACGTTGTGTAGTGATTGACACTTAGACCGCACACATCTGATTTTAGC